ACATAAAAACATACCAGTAGAGGAGACATCATCAAAAACATACCAGTAGGGGAGACACCAAACAAAAACATACCAGTAGAGGAGACATCACATAAAAACATACCAGTAGAGGAGACATCATACAAAAACATACCAGTAGAGGAGACATCAAACAAAAACAAACCAGTAGGGAGACACCAAACAAAAAACTTACCAGTAGAGGAGACATCACATAAAAACATACCAGTAGAGGAGACATCACATAAAAACATACCAGTAGAGGAGACATCATACAAAAACATACCAGTAGAGGAGACATCAAACAAAAACTTACCAGTAGGGAGACATCAAACAAAAACATACCAGTAGAGGAGACATCATACAAAAACATACCAGTAGGGAGACATCAAACAAGAACATACCAGTAGAGGAGACATCATACAAAAACATACCAGTAGAGGAGACATCATACAAAAACATACCAGTAGAGGAGACATCAAACAAAAACTTACCAGTAGGGAGACATCAAACAAAAACATACCAGTAGAGGAGACATCATACAAAAACATACCAGTAGAGGAGACATCATACAAAAACATACCAGTAGAGGAGACATCAAATAAAAACATAACAGTAGAGGTGACATCACATAAAAACATAACAGTAGGGGAGACACCACACAAAAACATACCAGTAGAGGAGACATCAAATAAAAACATAACAGTAGAGGAGATATCAAACAAAATCATACCAGTAGATGAGACATCAAACAAGAACATGGAGGGTACCAATTGATAGAATAGCGTCTGTAGTGAAATGATGTCATTACTTCATACTTACCACACGAGCGAAAGCGATAAGACGAAAATCAATCTGTTGTGTCAAACACTAGGAGAGATATTATTCTGTGGCCGCTGAATATGATATAAAAACAATTTGATATGCGTTGATATATATGTATTGTAATCAATAACTGCATATTGCCTCTAAATCATCAGCAAAGTACATTTTCAAGCCTACGAAGACGAGCGAGAAATCAAATTTCGTCTGAGAGTGAATCATGCATAGCAAAGTGGATAGACTTCGTATTATTGAGTACGAGGCCGCTTACAACTTACACAGAGTCAGGGGGCAGGATACAATTTATACACAGTACGAGGCCGCTTACAACTTACACAGAGTCAGGGGGCAGGATACAATTTATACACAGCAGGAGACCGCTTACAACTCATAAAGAGTACGGGAATAAATACAATTTATATAGAGTCAGGGGAATGCACGTGTATCAATGTATAAAGAGTGATACGGTACGTGTATCAATGTATAAAGAGTGATACGGCACGTGTATCAATGAATAAAAAGTGATACGCACGTGTATCAATGTATAAAGAGTGATACGGCACGTGTATCAATGTATAAAGAGTGATACGGCACGTGTATCAATGAATAAAAAGTGATACGACACGTGTATTAATGTATAAAGAGTGATACGGCACGTGTATCAATGTATAAAGACTGATACGGCACGTGTATCAATGTATAAAAAGTGATACGGCACGTGTATCAATGTATAAAGAGTGATACGGCACGTGAATCACCGTCTGAAAAGTGATACGGCACGTGTATCAATGTATAAAGAGTGATAAGGCACGTTTATCAATGTATAAAGAGTGATACGGCACGTGAATCACTGTCTGAAAAGTGATACGGCACGTGTATCAATGTATAAAGAGTGATACGACACGTGTATCAATGTATAAAGAGTGATACGGCACGTGTATCAATGTAGAAAGAGTAATACGGCACGTGTATCGATGTATAAAGAGTGATACGGCATGTGTATCAATGTATAAAGAGTGATACGGCACGTGTATCAATGTTAAAAGAATGATACGGCACGTGTATCAATATATAAAGAGTGATACGGCACGTGTGTCAATGTATAAAGAGTGATACGACACGTATATCAATGTATAAAGAGTGATACGGCATGTGTATCAATGTATAAAGAGTGATACGGCACGTGTATCAATGTATAAAGAGTGATACGGCACGTGTATCAATATATAAAGAGTGATACGGCACGTGTATCAATGTATAAAGAGTGATACGACACGTATCAATGTATAAAGAGTGATTCGACACGTGTATCAATGTATAAAGAGTGATAAGGCACGTGTATCAATGTATAAAGAGTGATACGGCACGTGTATCACTGTCTGAAGAGTGATACGAGAGGTGTATCAATGTATGAAGAGTGATACGGCACGTGTTTCAATGTATAAAGAGTGATACGGCACGTGTATCAATGTCTGAAGAGTGATACGGCACGTGTATCAATGTATAAATAGTGATACGACACGTGTATCAATGTATACAGAGTGATACGGCACGTGTATCTATGTATAAAGAATGAGACGACACGTGTATCAATGTATAAAGAGTGATACGGCACGTGTATCTATGTATAAAGAATGAGACGACACGTGTATCAATGTATAAAGAGTGATACGGCACGTGTATCAATGTATGACGAGTGATACGACAGGTATATCAATGTATAAAAAGAAAAGAAGTTGAAAAATGTACATCAACTTCAAGTATTTTACACATGTAGTAACATTGCTAAGGAAATCAAATAATGTGCGAAATTGGTAAAACAATATACAATGTTAGACGCGAGTATCTTGGAACAGTGTTAGACACGCGTGTCAGCGTAACAACGATACGCACGTGTATCAATCTTGGAAAGTGATCAGTCATGTACATCAGTGTAACAGTGAAACACAAGTGTATCCTTCTGGGAGTGTCGGACACGTTTATTGATGTTGGTTAAATAAAGCTAATAACACTTAGCTAAAATATAGATAAAACCTTACTTATTGTGATGAAACACATAGCGGTGGTGAATGGGAGACAAAAGGACGGTGCTCCGCTGTTCCAGAGGTCTCTACCAGCGTGGTAGCGCAGCGAGATCAGTAGGGCTGGATACTGTGGCTGGGTGTCACACGTGCGCACGGAGTGTGTGGAGTATCACTGTATCCCTCTGAGACAGCATATGGTTGTCTCCGGAACATAATACAGAGGCAAGTGAGGACACATCCTGAAGTACAGGTGCGACAGGGAATAGATCACGGAGAAAAGCTGTTATAGGGAATAGATTCAGGAGAACAGGTGTGATAGGGAATTTATCCCGGAGAACAGGTGTATATGAGAATAGACCCTGGAGAACAGCTGTGATAGGGAATAGATCCCGGAGGAAAGACGTACCATGGAGTAGATCCTGGGGAACAGGTCTAACCAGGAAAAGATCTTGGAGAACAGGTGTAACGGGGAAAAGATCCTTCAGAACAGGTAAGTGTCTGATTTCAAGACTTTGTATGACATGAGCCAATAACTCTTAGATTGGTATTGTACACGTATTTCTCACTCCTGTCACTGTGACAGAGAGGTACACGTATTTCTCACTCCTGTCACTGTGACAGAGAGGTACAACAGAGAGTGATCATTCCACCAGTGTTTTACTCCTACAGGTTTAGATAGTGATATTCCACTGTTTTATACAGTGTTTGTACTGTGACAGAGAGGGTAGTGATATTCTCATAGTGATATTCCACCAGTGTTTTATACAAGGTTTAATAGTGATATTCCACCAGTGTTTTATACAAGGTTTAATAGTGATATTCCATCAGTGTTTTATACAGGGTTTAATAGTGATATTCCACCAGTGTTCTAATCACGGTTTAAAAGTGATATTCCACCAGTGTTTTATACAAGGTTTAATAGTGATATTCCACCAGTGTTTTATACAAGGTTTAATAGTGATATTCCACCAGTGTTTTATACAAGGTTTAATAGTGATATTCCACCAGTGTTTTATACAAGGTTTAATAGTGATATTCCACCAGTGTTTTATACAGGGTTTAATAGTGATATTCCACCAGTGTTTTATACAGGGTGATATTCCACCAGTGTTTTATACAAGGTTTAATAGTGATATTCCACCAGTGTTTTATACAAGGTTTAATAGTGATATTCCACCAGTGTTTTATACAGGGTTTAATAGTGATATTCCACCAGTGTTTTATACAAGGTTTAATAGTGATATTCCACCAGTGTTTTATACAAGGTTTAATAGTGATATTCCACCAGTGTTTTATACAAGGTTTAATAGTGATATTCCACCTGTGTTTTATACAAGGTTCAATAGTGATATTCCACCAGTGTTTTATACAAGGTTTAATAGTGATATTCCACCAGTGTTTTATACAGGGTTTAATAGTGATATTCCACCAGTGTTTTATACAAGGGTTAAATAGTGATATTCCACCAGTGTTTTATACAGGTGTTTTATACAGGGTTTAATAGTGATATTCCACCAGTGTTTTATACAAGGTTTAATAGTGATATTCCACCAGTGTTTTATACAAGGTTTAATAGTGATATTCCATCAGTGTTTTATACAGGGTTTAATAGTGATATTCCACCAGTGTTTTATACAAGGGTTTGTAGTGATATTCCACCAGTGTTTTATACAAGGTTTAATAGTGATATTCCACCACCAGTGTTTTATGTTTTATCCACAGTGTTTTATACAAGGTTTAATAGTGATATTCCACCAGTGTTTTATACAAGGTTTAATAGTGATATTCCATCAGTGTTTTATACAGGGTTTAATAGTGATATTCCACCAGTGTGATATTCCACCAGTGTTCTAATCACGGTTTAAAAGTGATATTCCACCAGTGTTTTATACAAGGTTTAATAGTGATATTCCACCAGTGTTTTATACAGGGTTTAATAGTGATATTCCACCAGTGTTTTATACAAGGTTTAATAGTGATATTCCACCAGTGTTTTATACAAGGTTTAATAGTGATATTCCACCAGTGTTTTATACAAGGTTTAATAGTGATATTCCACCAGTGTTTTCAGGGTTTAATAGTGATATTCCACCAGTGTTTTATACAGGGTTTAATAGTGATATTCCACCAGTGTTTTATACAAGGTTTAATATTGATATTCCACCAGTGTTTTATACAAGGTTTAATAGTGATATTCCACCAGTGTTTTATACAAGGTTTAATAGTGATATTCCACCAGTGTTTTATACAAGGTTTAATAGTGATATTCCACCAGTGTTTTATACAGGGTTTAATAGTGATATTCCACCAGTGTTTTATACAGGGTTTAATAGTGATATTCCACCAGTGTTTTATACAGGGTTTAATAGTGATATTCCACCTGTGTTTTATACAAGGTTTAATAGTGATATTCCATCAGTGTTTTATACAAGGTTTAATAGTGATATTCCACCAGTTTTTTATACACGGTTTAATAGTGATATTCCACCAGTGTTTTATACAGGGTTTAATAGTGATATTCCACCAGTGTTTTATACAGGGTTTAATAGTGATATTCCACCAGTGTTTTATACAAGGTTTAATAGTGATATTCCACCAGTGTTTTATACAAGGTTTAATAGTGATATTCCACCAGTGTTTTATACAAGGTTTAATAGTGATATTCCACCAGTGTTTTATACAAGGTTTAATAGTGATATTCCACCAGTGTTTTATACAAGGTTTAATAGTGATATTCCACCAGTGTTATACAAGGTTTTATACAAGGTTTAATAGTGATATTCCACCAGTGTTTTATACAAGGTTTAATAGTGATATTCCACCAGTGTTTTATACAAGGTTTAATAGTGATATTCCACCAGTGTTTTATACAAGGTTTAATAGTGATATTCCACCAGTGTTTTATACAAGGTTTAATAGTGATACCAGTGTTTTATACAAGGTTTAATAGTGATATTCCACCAGTGTTTTATACAAGGTTTAATAGTGATATTCCACCAGTGTTTTATACAAGGTTCAATAGTGATATTTTTGTGTGAGTGAGGTATATATTGTCTTTTTGTGACTGAGGTATATATTGTCTTTTTGTGTCTAAAGAAAAAAATTAATAACTCAAAAAACAGTATAGAATCTCTTTGTGTGAGTGAGGTATATATTGTCTTTGTGTGAGTGAGGTATATATTGTCTTTGTGTGAGTGAGGTATATATTGTCTTTGTGTGAGTGAGGTATATATTGTCTTTGTGTGAGTGATGTATATATTGTCTTTGTGTGAGTGAGGTATATATTGTCTTTGTGTGACTGAGGTATATATTGTCTTTGTGTGAGTGAGGTATATATTGTCTTTGTGTGAGTGAGGTATATATTGTATATATTGTGTGTGTGAGGTATATATTGTCTTTGTGTGAGTGAGGTATATATTGTCTTTGTGTGAGTGAGGTATATATTGTCTTTGTGTGAGTGAGGTATATATTGTCTTTGTGTGAGTGAGGTATATATTGGTATATATTGTCTTTGTGTGAGTAAGGTATATATTGTCTTTGTGTGACTGAAGTATATATTGTCTTTGTGTGAGTGAGGTATATATTGTCTTTGTGTGAGTGAGGTATATATTGTCTTTGTGTGAGTGTATATTGTCTTTGTGTGAGTAAGGTATATATTGTCTTTGTGTGACTGAAGTATATATTGTCTTTGTGTGAGTGAGGTATATATTGTCTTTGTGTGAGTGAGGTATATATTGTCTTTGTGTGAGTGAGGTATATATTGTCTTTGTGTGAGTGAGGTATATATTGTCTTTGTGTGAGTGAGGTATATATTGTCTTTGTGTGAGTGAGGTATATATTGTCTTTGTGTGTATATACTTTGTGTGAGTGAGGTATATATTGTCTTTGTGTGAGTGAGGTATATATTGTCTTTGTGTGAGTGAGGTATATATTGTCTTTGTGTGAGTGAGGTATATATTTTCTTTGTGTGAGTGAGGTATATATTGTCTTTGTGTGACTGTGTATATGTAGTCTTTGTGTGACTGATGTATATATTTTCTTTGTGTGAGTGAGGTATATATTGTCTTTGTGTGACTGGGGTATATATTGTCTTTGTGTGACTGAGGTATATATTGTCTTTGTGTGAGTGAGGTATATATTGTCTTTGTGTGACTGAGGTATATATTGTCTTTGTGTGAGTGAGGTATATATTGTCTTTGTGTGAGTGAGGTATATATTGTCTTTGTGTGAGTGAGGTATATATTGTCTTTGTGTGAGTGAGGTATATATTGTCTTTGTGTGAGTGAGGTATATATTGTCTTTGTGTGAGTGAGGTATATATTGTCTTTGTGTGATTGAGGTATATATTGTCTTTGTGTGAGTGAGGTATATATTGTCTTTGTGTGACTGAGGTATATATTGTCTTTGTGTGAGTGAGGTATATATTGTCTTTGTGTGAGTTGTATATATTGTCTTTGTGTGAGTGAGGTATATATTGTCTTTGTGTGACTGGGGTATATATTGTCTTTGTGTGACTGAGGGATATATTGTCTTTGTGTGAGTGAGGTATATATTGTCTTTGTGTGAGTGAGGTATATATTGTCTTTGTGTGAGTGAGGTATATATTGTCTTTGTGTGAGTGAGGTATATATTGTCTTTGTGTGAGTGAGGTATATATTGTCTTTGTGTGACTGAGGTATATATTGTCTTTGTGTGAGTGAGGTATATATTGTCTTTGTGTGAGTGAGGTATATATTGTCTTTGTGTGAGTGAGGTATATATTGTCTTTGTGTGAGTGAGGTATATATTGTCTTTGTGTGAGTGAGGTATATATTGTCTTTGTGTGAATGAGGTATATATTGTCTTTTTTTGATGAGTGAGGTATATATTGTCTATGTGTATATATTGTCTTTGTGTGAGTGATGGATATATTGTCTTTGTGTGAGTGAGGTATATATTGTCTTTGTGTGAGTGAGGTATATATTGTCTTTGTGTGAGTGAGGTATATATTGTCTTTTTGTGAGTTGTGTGTCTGAGGTATATATTGTCTTTGTGTGTGTGAGGTATATATTGTCTTTGTGTGAGTGAGGTATATATTGTCTTTGTGTGAGTGAGGTATATATTGTCTTTGTGTGAGTGAGGTATATATTGTCTTTGTGTGAGTGAGGTATATATTGTCTTTGTGTGAGTGAAGGATATATTGTCTTTGTGTGAGTGAGGTATATATTGTCTTTGTGTGAGTGAGGTATATATTGTCTTTGTGTGAGTGAGGTATATATTGTCTCTCTGTGAGTGAGGTATATATTGTCTTCGTGTGAGTGAGGTATATATAGTCTTTGTGTGACAGTGTATATATTGTATTTGTGTGAGTGAAGTATATATTGTCTTTGTGTGAGTGAGGTATATATTGTCTTTGTGTGTCTGTGTATATATTGTCTATGTGTGAGTGAGATATATATTGTCTTTGTGTGACTGAGGTATATATTGTCTTTGTGTGAGTGAGGTATATATTGTCTTTGTGTGAGTGAGGTATATATTGTCTTTGTGTGAGGTATATATTGTGTGAGTGAGGTATATATTGTCTTTGTGTGAGTGAGGTATATATTGTCTATGTGTGAGTGAGGTATATATTGTCTTTGTGTGACTGAGGTATATATTGTCTTTGTGTGAGTGAGGTATATATTGTCTTTGTGTGAGTGAGGTATATATTGTCTTTGTGTGAGTGAGGTATATATTGTCTTTGTGTGAGTGAGGTATATGAGGTATATATTGTCTTTGTGTGTCTGATGTATATATTGTCTTTGTGTGACTGTTGTTTATATTGTCTTTGTGTGTTTGTGGTATATATTGTCTTTGTGTGAGTGAGGTATATATTGTCTTTGTGTGACTGAGGTATATATTGTCTTTGTGTGAGTGAGGTATATATTGTCTTTGTGTGACTGAGGTATATATTGTCTTTGTGTGAGTGAGGTATATATTGTCTTTGTGTGAGTGAGGTATATATTGTCTTTGTGTGAGTGAGGTATATATTGTCTTTGTGTGAGTGAGGTATATATTGTCTTTGTGTGACTGAGGTATATATTGTCTTTGTGTGACTGAGGTATATATTGTCTTTGTGTGAGTGAGGTATATATTGTCTTTGTGTGAGTGAGGTATATATTGTCTTTGTGTGAGTGAGGTATATATTGTCTATGTGTGAGTGAGGTATATATAGTCTTTGTGTGACAGTGTATATATTGTCTTTGTGTGAGTGAAGGATATATTGTCTTTGTGTGAGTGAGGTATATATTGTCTTTGTGTGAGTGAGGTATATATTGTCTTTGTGTGAGTGAGGTATATATTGTCTTTGTGTGACTGAGGTATATATTGTCTTTGTGTGACTGAGGTATATATTGTCTTTGTGTGACTGAGGTATATATTGTCGTTGTGTGAGTGAGGTATATATTGTCTTTGTGTGAGTGAGGTATATATTGTCTTTGTGTGTGTGAGGTATATATTGTCTTTGTGTGTGAGGTATATATTGTCTTTGTGTATAGGTATATTGTCTTTGTGTGTGTATATATTGTCTTTGTGTGAGTGAGGTATATATTGTCTTTGTGTGAGTGAGGTATATATTGTCTTTGTGTGTATATAGTGAGGTATATATTGTCTTTGTGTGAGTGAGGTATATATTGTCTTTGTGTGAGTGAGGTATATATTGTCTTTGTGTGAGTGAGGTATATATTGTCTTTGTGTGAGTGAGGTATATATAGTCTTTGTGTGAGTGAGGTATATATTGTCTTTGTGTGAGTGAGGTATATATTGTCTTTGTGTGAGTGAGGTATATATTGTCTTTGTGTGAGTGAGGTATATATTGTCTTTGTGTGAGTGAGGTATATATTGTCTTTGTGTGAGTGAGGTATATATTGTCTTTGTGTGAGTGAGGTATATATTGTCTTTGTGTGATTGAGGTATATATTGTCTTTGTGTGAGTGAGGTATATATTGTCTTTGTGTGACTGTGTATATGTAGTCTTTGTGTGACTGATGTATATATTGTCTTTGTGTGAGTGAGGTATATATTGTCTTTGTGTGACTGGGGTATATATTGTCTTTGTGTGACTGAGGGATATATTGTCTTTGTGTGAGTGAGGTATATATTGTCTTTGTGTGAGTGAGGTATATATTGTCGTTGTGTGAGTGAGGTATATATTGTCTTTGTGTGAGTGAGGTATATATTTGTCTTTGTGTGAGTGAGGTATATATTGTCTTTGTATGACAGAGGTATATATTGTCTTTGTGTGACTGAGGTATATATTGTCGTTGTGTGAGTGAGGTATATATTGTCTTTGTGTGAGTGAGGTATATATTGTCTTTGTGTGAGTGAGGTATATATTGTCTTTGTGTGAGTGAGGTATATATTTTCTTTTTGTGTGACTGAGGTATATATTGTATTTGTCTTTGTGTGATTGAGGTATATATTGTCTTTGTGTGAGTGAGGTATATATTGTCTTTGTGTGACTGTGTATATATTGTCTTTGTGTGACTGATGTATATATTGTCTTTGTGTGTGTGAGGTATATATAGTCTTTGTGTGTTTGTGTATATATTGTCTATGTGTGAGTGAGGTATATATTGTCTTTG